TGCGTTCTGGTCAGCTCCAGCCTCGAGCAACACCCGCACCACTTCCAAGTGGCCATTCTGAGCTGCAACCATCAAGACGGTTCTCCCATCTTGCATTGCTGCGTTCTGGTCAGCTCCAGCCTCGAGCAACAGCCGCACCACCTCCAAATGGCCCCGTTCTGCAGCGAAAAGCATAGGTGCAGGAAGGTCAATGTCTGCACCTGTCCAGTTAGGATTCAGTGGTTTCTGAAGCAAACGTGTAACTTCGACAACTTGATTGTTCTCACATGCAAAGTGTAGTGCTTGCCAATTGGCCTCCTCAGGCGGATAGTAGTCCAAGATTACTAACTGCAAACTTGGTAGTGGTCTGACAGGCATATTATCCTGTAGCTCGCCCATCTCTTCGCTCAAGAGTCTAAGTCGAAATCTTGAGTATCCAATCTTTGTGGAAATGAGCGTCTTCAAATCTCTAACATATTTTCCACTCCCCACCATGTAGCCCAATTCTTCCTCATGAAGCTGGGTGAGAACGGCACCTGCAACCGTTATAATCTCCATTGCTCCAGCCCTAGAGGAAGTGGCTGATCCAACATGGCTAAAACTTGCACTTTGATATGGAAGCACACGAAACATCACGACACACACGCACACACCACCTGTCTAACCATGCAAACATGGCTAGTCACTCAAACCATCATGAAACTCCAACTGATCGGTCAAGAGGCTCCATGGATGGTCGATATGTGAAATGTGGGTGACTTGTCACACATGATTGACGCACCCACTCGCCACACACAGATGGCCCTTCGCCAACAAAAACACATCCAGAGAACCTGGAAAATCCGCAGTTCAAGCGCTTCGAGTCTCACTTCGGGTAGAAAACTCTGCGAGTGAACACCGGGTGGGAGAAGAGGTTCATATTGGCCCTCCGAACGTCCGCTTTGACTCATGAACTACTCCACCTGTTAGTCAATCCACCACTACCAGTTCGGGCTAAAATGAGTCATAACTGGACTCTCAGGGTTGTTAAACATGCTTTCTTGCTAATTCTTCGGACAAACGCCTGGAGGGCTCGTTTCACGACCGGGAGGTGTCGCGAATGAATTCACATACACCCTATCTACGTGGAAAAGAACGGCTTCATTGTCATGGTGATCCCTATTTTTGGAACACCCATTTTTCATCGTGTTTCATGGTGTTTTTCCATGTTAAACCCCTCTTCGCCAAATCCAACACGGCAACCTTCGCGCGCGCTTCGGCTATAAGTGGCGTCTTGGCTCGGCTCGCCCACCTCTTGGTTCGTGAGCCCAGTAATCAGTGCTCCAGTATCGATGAGTGCATTGCATCGGCCCTGGTGAGCTGCTTCGATGATGCTGTCCAGCAGCAGTTCCACGTTCCAACCTCCGACGCGACGCGAAGCTCCGCGAGCACGAGCTTCGTTTCGACCACGCGGCCGGTGACCCCCGTCCATGCGACGCCTACGACAACTGTGAGGACATGTTCTAGTGTAGACAGGTGGTGTTCCATTTCTATACGTTAGTTCCAGGGAGCGTAAACAGATCACTGGCTGCCAACTCCAAAGCCGTTTCAGACTTCACCCGAGGCAAACTCTTCCACTTCCACACCCACACACCCTCTGCACATCTCGATTTCATGTGATGCACAGGTTACTCACTGTCACGAAACGTGCTTATTGAATCTTTTTGACTGTTTTCACCATGCTTGGCCCTTTGCGTTAACGTATGAAACATTGGCCATTGTGCGTGCCACGTGCGTGCCAACGATGGCGTTTCCACGCGCTTGGGCGGCATGCGTACGTGACAAGACGCCAAAAAGGCCGGCGTGGGCACGTGGGCCCGCATGGTGTTTCGCACCTGGCTGGGCACCTGTTGATTTGGGTCTTTGATTTTGGGGGTCTCGTGGGAAGTTCTGATCTCCACGTACGGACTCCGAATCCACGCACGTCTCTCCACGCAAGAAAAATGGCAATCAAAACAGTGACACACCACTTGCGCACAGACCAGGAGTCACATCTGGTGCCGGTTCCGGTTCCGGTTCGGAGGCCGTCGGTGCGACATCGCATCGGACGAGCCAGCCCGAGCCTCCGAGCTTTCTGAGTAGGGCACAGAATTAGACGAACTGTCACAGCACGTTTTGTCGTGAAACCTCAAACCTTTGTGCTTCCCACTGCCCTTGTTGCACGTCTAGCGCGCTCTGCGCGCTCCATCGTGTTGAGTGTCGGCCTTTTCGCGCTGACGATTGTGACGCGGGTCCACTTTCTCCAAGCAAGTGTGTTCAACCCTTGACAACCTAGTGGGGGCCGTACAGATGCAGATCATGTCATTGTTTGCTGCCTTATCTGAGAGACAGAAGAAAATAGGTGATAGGCAATATATGGCGATACTGGCGATGTCAAGGAACACCAAATATCAGAGTCAAAAAAGGTCAGAGCCATTCTTGCTAGCCCCAGTTATGCCCACGATGGCCTAGAAAAACAGATTAAGCAAAAATTGCTTCTCCGCTGCCCACCACCACCACCACCACCATCATCACCACCCAAGGCCCCCACCAGGCGGAATCGCTTCGAAGGTGACGACCTCGAGTGCCAGGTTGAGTTGGAAAAAATGTAGGGGTCCATTTGGCTATGAACTCACAGCTTGTGGTTCTTCGTTCATCACTTTCTCAGTGCCGAACTTCCTCGCACCGAACTGAACATTGTTCAAGCTGGTAGAGATTGGTGGAACCAACCAAGTCAGGGGATGATCTTGGACAACGTGTTAACCAATTGACTCCATGGTCAACTGTTGAAACCCCATGACCATCCATGACCTGTCTATATATTCACCAGACCTGTAGTAGACCACACCGTGGTGCTCGGACCGCCCCGTGGCCTTGGTGTCGGTCATGGTGCTCACCATCTCTCCTTCGCTGCCTGCGCGCGCGGAGCTCGCGTGTGGAGCTGACGCGGCCAGCAAGTTTCGGACGGGCATGGTGGATTGGAACTTTTGGGCAACACCGAACTGCAGAAGTCGGCAAGGAAGGTTGGGCACATTCTGGGCTGGAAGCCTGGAAGCTAAGGAAAATATACCTAGTTCTTCCCCTTGGTTGGGTATTTTCCCTTTTCTCTCAACAAACACATCCATCCGACCTTCGAATGATACCCCGATCTCGAAATGCCGTACTCACCTCGTCACCGCCGTACTCACTCAATGAAGACTCCTGAGGGTAGTGAATTCATCTTATGACATAGGACCGAAGACCATCATGCTATACCTGGGGCAGCCTATAAGGCTGATTAGTCTCATGAAGGCAGAAGAGAGCTCTTTCATGTCCAGAAGGCTAATTAGTGTCATGAACGTTAAAAACCGTTCACATGATATTTTGCTGCATGTGACAATGGGACCAAATCCCTGTTGCATCCCTGTTACCATCATCTATGATGATATTCATGGTTTTCCCTGTCAACCCTCCATAGGACATCATTGAGATTCTGTATAGGATCATCAACCATTTGGGTGTATCCCAACCTCTACCTGTCCACTCGCTCAGGGGCCTTTCACTGCCGCACCTTTCCGCACAAGGCTCCAAGTGGCCAAGGTGCATTGTCGTCTCATTCAGGTACCGGATGGCTTATGATGATAGGGTGAGTGGTGTATAGGGCTCATTGCCCAAAACTAGTATAGGAGATCTAGATGTTCACCGCTTATATTCTTTGGTGCCCTCCTGAGATCTAGATGCACCTTGGTGTGTGAACAGGATCAAGCGATCAAGACTAATCACTGAAATGTGGAAACAGCACTTGCAACACTTTCTCATCCATCATCACATATATATATATAGCAAGAGTGCAATGGAATGCGCTGTGATGTCTTGGAGAAGGCACTTCTGACATGTTTAGCTGCTTCAGGCTTCAGAGCCTGGTGAGACCCGGTGAGAGAAACGTGAAACTCCGCATCAGGTTGGATGAAAATCTTTGGAGTCAGCCACATAGGATGCAGTATATGACTAGATTTGGTCCAAATGTTCACCACTTGGTCTATATATGTATCAACAGTTGTAATCATTTCAAAGACATGCACTTCATCCAACAATCTTCGATCAGAACTTGCATGATCCTGCGCAGCACCCATTTGGGCTGAGACGGATTGCTTTTGGGAAAGTGCCCTACAATTGGTGGATCAGGGAATCATGGGGAGAACCTCGGCGGCCAAGACCAAAGCTAGGCCAAGTGCAAGCGGTTCGGCTTCATCTTCAGGGACCTCTACCCCAGCCCCACCTTCTACTCCGAGCACCCCTGAGCGTGTGGGGAAATACGATATGTCCCACTTGCCAAAGGCTTGGGACGACGATGATTTCATCCGTGAAAGGCTTCGAGAAGACAAGCCTTTGCTTCTCCACTTGGATCCAAAGTGTGGTCAGGAGCAGGCCGCTTATGTGGAGGGGACGGTAGACAATGTCAAGTTGAATCTTCCTGCATTGCTGCCATTGGCGGATCTCATGTCAAAGAACTCGCTTCTCATGCCCAACATTGACTCACTGATCCAGTCAGTGCACAATGCATACAAGGTTGCCAAGAAACCCAGGAACTATGAGCATTGCTACGCCATGGGCTGGGCATTTAGACGGCTTCTGGGAACAGGGAAATCTTTTTGCTATCGGGATCATCCTCCTGAGGACTCCAAGCTGGCTATCATATTGTTGTTCTTTGATCTTTCTTGTTCACTGCCCTTTTTGGTGGGAAGCAATGTGAACTGTATATATAAAGCTTTGGCTGGATTCATGAGACATGATTGCACAGGGCCATAAAAGGACATGGATCCCAAATAGTTCTCAGCCTCCATAAAGTGTCAATAGTCCGATGCGGGCATCTACAACATCTCTACAACTGATAGTTTCACCAGCCCCAGCTGTCCTTGAATGCCCCGTTGCTCAGGATGAGCAGATTCGAGGCCTGATGAGTGCAATGGGCTTCGATTTGGAGGCCCTGCATGGTTGGGGCCCGGAGTGACGTTGATTGGAGAAATCCCTTTTGTGAAACATGTCACGCAGAAAAGGCAAAGCTTTGGTCATTTAACAAATGCCATTTCAAGGGAAGCTTGACCTGTTAAGCTTTGGCTTTCCAAGCACCCTTGACCTTCTCAGAGTTGCATGTATATATATATATATATAGTCCTGGATTGATTTATTGTGCAAATGGTTTATGGATTCAAGTGGGATCCCTTCGTTGTGGCAGGCAACCCTGATTGTTTATATACAATTATATCAGGAAAGAAATCCACCACCCTTAAACAGCCATCACTCTTGCTGCGCAGAACTGGGTGCCAATCAAGAAGAAGGACAAGAACCTGTCTTCAACATCGGCACAGGTTGTTGAATCGCAAGATTCATGCCCACTGCAAGATTCGTGCCCACCAGAACCAGAGGTGCTCCCAGGTGCAATTCTAGGAGGCCCTGCGCTACCACCTCACTCTCAAGTCCTGGAGGTGACTGAGGAATTTGTGGCTGAGGTGGCTTGTGAGTTGGACGAGGTCATCAAAAAGAATGACTCAGTCCCATGTATGGATGATCCAATTGCTTTCGAAGCAGCTGAAACTGTTGCACCGTTGGAGGCACCGATGTGTTTTGGGGTTTCATTTTGGGATTGGATGAATGATGAAGTGAATATGGTATCTGAAGTCTTCCTTCCATGCTGGTAACTCAGGTCGAGCCATGTATGTAAATATATAGGGCACGGCTGGTAAGAGCTGTCTTTGCATGCTCTTTTTTGTTGATACGACAAAATGTGCTAGCCATTCAGTGGTCTTTCCATGAAACAAGTATGCGCAGTTTACATTGGCCATAGAAAAAGAACCTTTGAAACCTTTGCTGTGCAAAACAACTGTGAAGGCAACCCTTGTTGCCTGCTGCAACCGCTTTGCCTCATCAGGATGATGCGAATCAGATTTGCTGCGTTTCTTCGGATGAGGAAGTTGATGAAGAAGGACATGGATCAACCACCTTCGACCCTCACTGTCTAATTTCTGCTTTGCGGGCGCTTCAGCTGACCCTGGGCATCGGCATTTGCAAACCGACCTTTTGAATTGTTGTTTGTATATATATAAAACAGCTGGTTGTTTGTTGGGGCTTTTAGTCTATATATACAAGTTTTTTTGGTAGCGTTTGTGAACTGCAGTTTTGATGGCAAATTACAGTAGTTGGGATTTGCTAATTGAATAAGTGGGTCTTCCTTTGACATCATCCTTGGTGGCTTTAGTCTGCGCCCACATCACATCTATAAGGAAAGAGGACAATGCACTGGATGGGACTTCAGGGCAAGCACCTGCACCTCCCAGTCAGGGGGTTCCATCATGTGCACCCTGTGATTCTCTAGAACCGCCACCATCGACACCGGCAGCCAGCAGTCCTCCTTTGGCTGTCTCTGAGCAGCCTGACATCAAGGGTCAAGGCAGGATGGAGTGAAAGACAAGAGTGTATATGTGTGGAAGGACATGTATATGAGTCACATGCTGCTTAATTGTTCCATCCTCATTCGGCCAAATGACATTCATTGTGAAGAATAATCAAATCAAATGGTATTTGTTCTTTCTGTGTTGCTTCCTGATGAGAAACATCCGCCCTCTATAGGTGCCCAAATGGTGTTGGAGTCCCTGCCCTTTGGACATGACGCAGACCAAACACAGCTGCCATGCAGCCCTGGGTCCTTGATCAACAGTGATGTTGCTCACCAGACCCTTGCAAAGCTTTTGGTCCATGAAACTCACGCAGCAACTGAGGCGAGGGGCCAAAACAACTGGGAGTTTTCGCTCATGAGGGATGACACATACAATTTGAGTTTCACACCAGGAATACAATGAAATTGATTCCAACTTAGCTATTGTGCATACCCACCGCACCCTGAATCAGGCACTATAGTGTTCATGCATGCCAAGCTTTAAAAAGTGCATATAAAGCTTGTCGATGGGCTTTCCTTTGTTCCAACTCCATCCTGCTAGGCAGGTGCTGCTTCTTCCGAGGTTGCAGGTCTCTTGGGCCAACCAGGGAGTGATGATGTGATCACACGCAGGATGCAATTTAGAATGAAGAAGAACAAGAAGGAAGCAAAGCAGAAGAAGAAGGAAAAGAAGCAACAGGAAAAGATTGAGAAAGAAAAAGCAAAGGAGGAAAAAAAGAAAGCACGTGATCTGAAGAAACAGGAAGCAGAAGCCAAGAAAGATGCAAAGAAGCAAAAGAAGGCAGACTCAGAACAGAAGACCAAGACGGAAAAGAGCAGCCGGAAGCGAAAGCAAGCCAAGGCTTTTGCTGATGAGCCGAAGGTGGATAATAAGGAGGAGGAGGTTGAGAAGGAAGCTGAGAAGGAGCAGGGGCAAGTGTCAGAAGAGCTGGACGAATACGACTGTCCTAGGAATGAAAGTCCAGTGGTGGAGACCAGACAAATGGGGAAGGTAAGAAAACATGTCAAGTGCATCGGCCTGACCAAGTTGCGAACTATGCAAGCAGCAACACCGTCCCCGAAGAAAGAACCATGCCAGGCGAAGGGAAAGAAGAGAACTCGCAAGGAGCGGGAATCTGATGGATCCACCAAGGCTTTTAAAGGAAAGGTGCCAAAGAAGGGCACAAAGAAGGGCACAGGGCTGAAGAACTGTAAGAAAGGTTCCCAGAAAAAGCCTTCCACCAACACCAAGAAGCCTTCGACCAAGAAGCCTTCCTCCAAGAGGGGCAAGAAGGCAGCAAAGGTGGATCCTTGTCCCAAGATTTCCGCAGATGTCACGGAGACTTTGAAGTCGTGCTGGGAAAGCAGTTGCACACACCCGTCATGGACCATGACAGAGTATGACAAGAAAGTCTTCCAAGTTGTCATCTACTGGACCCGGAATGCTGTAGGTGTCAAAGTGAACAAAGCATCTCTTGAGGGTGGCGCAAGCAAGGGCTGCA